TTTGATAAATGCTATGAAATTATTAGCAGAACACAGGAGGGGCACTGAACCCAATCTTGGAATTACAGGAAGGTTTCCCAAAGAGATGTCAGCCAAGCTGAGTGCTGAGGTTAGCCGAGGAGGAGTTTATCTGGCAAATTAAAAATGCCTACTTAGAATTTCATCAGACCGTGATATACAGGAAAAAAGATGAAGGGGCACTAATATTTGTTCACTGCCAGGCACTGGGAAAGTGCTTTACATGCATTAAATAACTGATCTCCACAACAATATGGTGAGGGAGGTGTTATTAACCCCATTTAATTGAGAAGAAAACAAAAGCTCAGGGAAGTTAAACAAGTTGCTCTCAGTCATGGGTGAGAAAGTGGCACTGGCTGGATTCAAACCCCAGAGCTGGACAGACCCTTCCATCTCTTCAAGGGTCACTAAACTGGAAAATTGTGTTCAGGCAAAACTTTGCCTTATTCTTTCCAGTCACTAAGCTTACATCTTCTATGAGAGAAGCAGAGAGGTAGACCTACAACGTGCACTTTGGTTTTCAATAGATTCCACTGATGACCGGGTGCCAGAATGCGCCCAAATGGCCCATGGCAGGGCTGAACCTGCACTTGAGTTTTCCTCGTTCTTGATCCGTAGTCGTTGGCCACTGTCCAAGTACTGCACGTGGCTCTTGGCTACTTCGGGTCATTCAATTTTTCATTCAAACTGACTCGCTTTATCTCCAGACTCACTCAAGTGAGCAGAGATGTCTGCTCCTGCTTCGTTGAAAGGCCACAAGTTAGAACCCATGTATGGAATTTGGCCTCAGATTGTAGAATTAGTTTCTCTTTACCTGTCACCATCTGAATATGAAAATAAACTTAGTAACGTAGGTCAAGTCATTAAAGAACTCACTTTTTAAATTAGAGCAGTAGAATGAGGGTTTTGTGTGTGTGTGTGTGTGTGTGTGTGCACGTGTGTGTTGACTGCATAAGAAAATACATTGCTTTATACAATTTGTATACATAGCCCTATGTATATGGGATAACACACACACGCACATAACTATGTGTGTATTTTCTAGATAGCTGTATATATAGCCTTATATAATTTGGGGCTACATATATTATGGTCCAAATGCTGCTTCTCAGAGGCACTCTTTATTTCCTTTAGCTGCACAGAAGTAGAGGCTGTAGAGTTTTGAGGAGCTATTTAATCAAGGTTCATATCTGAGATGGGGGCTACTTGCAAGAAAGGCCAGCTTATATTCTGTGCTCAATATCTCTGGCCGCATTGCAAAAAATAAAAATTTTTTGATTACAAAGGAAGGAGGGGCATACTACCTATGGTAATTCGAAATAGCCATATAAAAGGTAAAGCTCTTTTAAAGCCTTGTATTCAAACAAGCAAACTAGTGTTTACATAAAATGTTTCCAACCAGAGTCTATTCATTCACTCAGACAAGGATTAAGTACAAGGAAGGAGTAAAGCCAAGCCAGCAGCCAGGGTGGCTGAGGGTGAGCCTTTGAGACTGGGCGGGAGGACGGGAAATATGAGCAGAGAACTGAGCGTTGTGAGGAATTCGCTAGCGGGAGATCCGAGAGAAGAAAATTCCAAGCAGAAGGATTAGCCAGAGTAAGGGTCTTGAAGTAGACACAAGCAGTGTAGATTTAAGAGGGCCAAGAAAGCCAGTGTGGCCGGAAAAGCATAAGACGGGGAGAGAATGTCAGGTGAGAGGAGAGAGGTAGGTGTGGAAAGAATCCAGGGTGGAGGGTCAGGCAGAGGGATGGATGTCATGGTAGAGAGTTTAGATTTTATTTTAAACGTGATGGGAAGCCACTGAAGAGTTCTGAGCAGGGAAGTGCCACAGTCTGATCTATATTTTCCAAGAGTCGCTCTGGCTGGGCTATGAAACGCTGACCACAGGAGTGCAAGAGTTGACGTAAGGAGACCAGTTTGGACACGACAGCAATAGTCCAGGAGACGATGACAGCCACTGAGGTGACAGCAGGTGAGGTGGTGATAAATGGCACGATTTGAGACATGGTGAGGATCAAGCTGCAAGGACCTGCTGGTGGTGATGTCTAGATTTTTGGCTTGAGTATTTGGGCAAATTGTGGTGCCATTAGTTGAGCTTGGGAGGAAAACCAAGGGTATAATTGTTAAGTTATGTTAACTTAACATGTTAAGTATGAAACACCTATTAGATAGCCAAGAAAAGGTGCTGAGTATACAGCTGGAGGGGCAAAAGAAAAATTGTACTCAGGGGAAATGTTAGGGCTGAGGGTAAAAATGAGCAGATACTAGAATAGAGATAGTAAACAAAGCCAGTCTCCAGTAAGATCTCCAAGGAAACACCCAGGGAGTAAATGTGGATAGAAAAGGGAAGAGGGGTGAGGACTGAGTTCTGGGGCCCTCGGCCTAGAGCTGGGACGAGGAAGAGCCCACACAGAAAACTGGGTACGCTGCTGCAGCTTTGGCAGGGAGAAACCCAGAAGAATATCTCTTGGAAGCCAAGAAAAGAAGACATTTTAATAAAGAGGGAGGGTGTGATGAACTTTGTCGAAAGTTGCTGAAAGGCTGCGTAAGAATATCTATCAATTTACATCAAAAGAAAACTCTTATGGAAATATTAAACTAAAATTTAGAGGGTCTGTACTTATTTGTGTGGGAAAGGGGATTTATACAAAGACATGATTCTATAAATATTGAGTAGTTCTATTGTCAAGTCCAGTCTAAAAAGAGTGTGACAATTAGGTAACAGTTTTTATGTCAACTGGAGGCTTATCACACAAACAAAGCAATCTGCCCAAATGCCAACCATTAGTCCCCTTGAAAAGCTACCTATATTGTGAGGGGTGGTTTCTACCAACTCTGAAGAATTTCAGCAACTGCTCTGTGAGTTGTGTTGAATCAAAACATGAAGAGAAGGGTCCCAGACTTTCATAAATGGGCTAAGTTCTACTGGTAACGATGCCCCATCACTGGTAAGTTTATAATAATCAATATTTTATAACCAAGAATGCTTCTATGTTCCATGTTGAATGTCAGCACTACTTGTATTTCGTGGCCTCTCTGTGTACATGCAGTAACACTAGTGACTTCTGTGTAGAGTGTTACCTCCCTGAATGATTTGAAACATTCCAAAGCAAGGCTGGCTTTCCCTTATCACACAACATACCCTAAACGAATTATGTCCACATCGCCGGTATGTATTCAAAGTACTACATGTTTAGGGAATGTAAATAAATAGTGGTATAAGTCAAACATCATTAGAATATAAAAAGTAGCATGCAACAAAATAATCTAAAATATAGTCCAAAGGCAACTAACTGTATTAAATTATCCATTGCTCAGATCCCCTCCGACTATGTCAATAATTCATAGATCTATCACACAGGTAATTACATCATTTAATCAGCATCTATAGTATTGAGTACTAGGCACATAGTAGGAACTCAAAAAATAGTTGTTGTAGAATGAAGATATGCTTATGGAATTTTTAAGGAAGCTCTACTACTGTTCCTCCTAAAAGAATTGACCGTTACCAAAGGGGGGGAAAACAGTCTCAATGCACAAAGACTGAGTTTATCAGTTTTTAAAAATCCTTTAGCAACCTAAACTGATGCAGTTTGATTTTCTTGTCATTGCTTTTCCTATACTATCAAAAATGATGCTTTCTTTACTATTTCAAACTCATCATCAAATTGCTAAAAATCAAAAATTCAATTTGCCACATTACTGCTAATTTGAATAATGGCTGAATAAAAGACAGGAAACGCTGAAGCAGCAATGATTTCTAAAACATTTTGCACTTTCCTCCTCCATCCCTGTAAAGTAAAGCTCGGATGCCACGCACAATTACACAAGAAAATCAAGAAAGCCATTACATTCAGCATTTTGTCATGATCATTGTTACCATGGCAAAAAGTGGGCTTAGTTTAGCACAGCTGCTACGGGCGAGGTCTGCTGGCCTTTTGTAAGGCTGAGTAACAATATAATGCCAAATTCTGTAGCTTGTCACTGTTTCTTTTCCCCAGGACAAGGCTATTGTCCACAGATGCTACTGTCTCATTCTTTAATGATCTGGGTCAGTGTCATCTTATTATTGTATTCTTACTGTTGGCCAGTGACCAAGGACCACAGTTAATCTAGGAAGGTTACCACTTGACCCACCTCCTGTTCCAAAGGGAAAAATGAGTAGTGTGAAAACTAGGGATTTCAATAATACAAAAAGCCTCAGTTTCAACAGTTGTATTGTAAACAGCAATAGAATTATGCTAGAAATAGCGCAGGTTAGCAAGAGAGAAAGACAAATGCAGGCCCAGGTTGACTGCCTGTATGGTATATTATTTCCTTCCTTTTGAGTATCAGTTTAGTTATCTGTACAATGGGAATAAAAGTAACTTCCTTGTGAGGATTAACTGAGATAATGTGCAGGCCTAGGCACATGGTGGGTAATCAGGAATATGGCATTAATAATATGGCAAATATGGCCACCGCCATCAACACCGCCTTTCTCTTAATCGCTGACATTTTCATGCCTTCAGGAATGTTGACTGAGGTTGGTGGGTAAACTGTTTTCTACTGTTGCAAGGTAAATCGTTTTGATCTTTTATATTGTTTGGATATTCTCAGAAAGACGAGGATAAAATATTTTCTAAGGTCTTGACAGTAAGCATAAAGTTCATACCAAAAAAATAAACATCAGTGTCAATGTCATAATATGCATCACATCTTATTATCCATATTTTAAGTGACACCAGTATTATCACTGTAAAAGGGAAAATGGCAAATATACTAATTTTGACCTTAATGCAGAGATTTCTTAGCTTTAAAAAATGAAGCAACATTATACAAGCTGAGAAGTTGAAATTACCTGAAATGAATACATTAATCAAGTCTCTGTATTTACTAGAAACAAAGGCGACTAGCATTTTTACCAGCTAAACAAAATATTTTTTCTAATGAGATTTCAGCTGAGTATCGTTTATCTTAAGAGAAAAATAATGGGGCCTTACCTGTTCCAGTAGCTCCAAAACTGGTCATGCAGGTAGGCGTGGTGGCTACATTCATCACCAAATGAGGCTTTGCTTTCAATCCAGTGAATTATGTGCCCTTCTACAGCTAAGGGACAAAGCATTACTAATACAGAGCAAACGGAAGGGAAGATTGAACATGCTGAACTCTGTACAGGCCTCTCTATGCTTCATATTAATGAGAAGAGGCTTAGCCCTCACTGTCATCTGTGGATGTAATTATAAAACAACACATCGTATACGTTCGTTACGAGGAACATTTATGCTGCAGTCACATCCCTTTTATTTTCATCGTCTTCAGAAGTCCCTCTCCTAGTCTGAGACTGTGTACATGTGGACGAGTCAAGTGAAAACAAATGAAAGTGAGCCTGGCTTTTCAACAGAACCATGTTTTAGAAATGCAATATTTACAGAAATGACTTGAAAATAGCAACCAAAATGTCCAGAAGACAAGTTTATTTCTCAAGTATATGTAAAAGATTTTAAGGCATAGATTTCTTCTGAACCCATTATTTTCTGCTATTCTAAAATAGTCTTTTTCAATGATTTCACCCATTTAGATACCATCTACTCTGGTAACGTTTGTTGGTATTAACAAAAAACAAAAAACAAAATCTATGGAAAAAAACACATCCCTTTTCTCTATAAACCAATGCATAAGAGAGTTTAAGGACTTACCAACTGGTACTTGTAAAATAAAGTCTGGTGTTTTGTCATAACCCTTTGCACGGAGCTGATCTTCATCTATAGGAAGAACAAATACTATTACTTATAACAGTATTCCATTAACAAGACAGCAATATAATTGCTTTTCTTTCTTAAAAATGTATAAAAATTATTAATGCAGTCATACATATCTTTCTTATGTATGCAATACTGTGTCAGAATAAATGAACTTTCTTAACAAACCTGAAGCATAGATATAAAAATGCCTCTTTGTCCCTTCTGCATTTTTATGTCTTTATTATAAACTTCATTAATTCAAGCTGTCATACGTTACCTTTTTTTATAATTGAAAATACTCAAAATAATGAAATATACTTGCTGATTAAAAGAAAAGGCTTTACTACTATGAATATCACTAATGTTATCAGCCAATCCTGACAATTTACAGGAAGGCACATGCACAGTGGCCGTTACAATTATAAAACAAATATTTTTCATTAAAGTGATTACGAAAGTTTAGTTTCTATTAGTGAAAAACTATTCCTACAGACAAGAACACAAGAGAGGGACAAGGACAACGAGATCGCCACAAGGACTTAATTACCCTGCTTAAATCCTTTGGTATGCTATTGTTTCTGGCATTTACCAGAGTTTTACCACTAACAATATGTAATTCTGTCAAGCAAACACACTGAGATTTTTTTTCTAAGTCTGTTCGATTTCCTGATCCTGTGTAAATATCAATGATCCATTCAGAAGGAAAGGAGGCTAGAAAACAGAGCTTGACAAAGTTGGAAAAAACTAGCTAGGTGCCCGGTATAAAAAAAAAACACACACAAAAAAAACCATCCGATATTTTCTAAATGCTGTCCTTCATATCTAATGGCATTACAATGTGATTTCTGAAATGAGGAGTTCTCCATTAGATTTTGGAGTGACCTGGTCATTCAATTCCAGACATGGCTTTCTGTCTTCACCCAACCTCAACTAATGGCCCAGCCAAGTAACAAGGAAGGCTGTGTGGTCTCTTAACACCTACTCGGCTGTTGACATTGTCATGCGTCCCATTCGCCTTCCTGCATCACCTTTGATTAAAATTAATGGCCCATTCCCAGGGTTGGGTAGCTTATTTCCAACCCATTTGTCAGCCCAAGACAGTGGTTTCATGGCCAATGTTCAGAAACTCTGTTTGAGAACACTCTTGTGTACATCTTGAAAGGTCAGCATTTTAAACGTAAATAACCTTTTAATGACAAGACACATGTTTAAACTAGGTATTTAAGTTAAACTGTATTGAAACTTGGTATCTTTTAACCACCCAGATTTTGAAGGATTGATACCAGAATCCAGAACAATCTCCCATCTTTGAAATATATAAAAAAAACAATTGAGATAAGAAAGTACAAATAAAAGTAATCTGACTTTAAACACAAGAGAATTTGGAACACTGAACTGCAGACCAGATGAACAAGACTGGAAAAATTTCTATCCTCTAACTGCACTCCAGCCACAAGAATGTTTAATGGAAAAGGCATTTATTAAAATCAACTCAAGTGCCTTGAGCTTATGTTTCAGGTAGCTGATGAACAGTTTTAAGAGCTGGGTTGACATTAAAAAAAGAGAGATTAATATTTTATTAAAACTAACTTAGCTTGATCAACGTTTGTAGATGTTAAAACCTGTTTCAGAAAGAAAAATGATTATGTTTCTGTCGGCAGCTCAAAACAAAATTTCAAAGGTCACCAGCAACCCAAATGCGCACACTAATGTCCCTTTAAAAGGCAGATGCTGTACTCCTGTTCACTGCACCACAGTTACTAACACAATACCTACAATTTAAAGTTCACGGCCTACTTAATGTGAAATTTAAAAACTAAAACTCCCACACCTGGACATAAAACATCAGGAGAGACCAGGGAATCTTTCCATCTTTCTGGGGAGAACTTCAAAGTACAACTTGTGCTCCTCTGCTTTCTCCCCCTTCCCCACCCCTCTTTCCTCCCTCTCAGTATGAAGTTCATCCAACAGTCATTTTACTCAAAGTTTAGCTAATAAAAGTCTGTGTGACCACTAGTGATATTCGACTTCTACACACACACACACACACACACGGTGCCAAAAAAATGTATACACATTTTAACAAAGGAAAAAAAAACTATTAAAATTGTAAAACTCAATATATATACTGATAACAAAAGATGACTACAAGCTATACTTGACTTCTGCAATCATAAGAGGTGCTCAAAGTGGTTCCCATCAGCGTCCAGATACTTCTCATTATGGCGAACTACTGCATGAGCAACGCTGACCAGTGTCCACTTGCACACATTTTTTGGGCACCCCCGGTGTGTGTGTGTGTGTGTGTGTGTGTGTGTGTGTGTGTGTGTTATCCCACACATCTGAAATACTATGTTATGTACTGGCTACCTTCTCCTGTATTTACTAAACTCCCATTGCCTTGCGTACAATGTTTCACATCGTTTCTTTCATACTAGGTTTATTAAGAGAGGAGGAACATGTTTATTAAGGAACAGCTTGGCAAAGTTCAGAGGAAATGACAGTACAAGCAAATGTAAATTGCAAAACTGACTGTAGAAGAGATAAAAATCTAAATAGATCAGTAGCATCCTAAACAGATAGGAAGCAGCATTTCTGAACCAGTGGCCTTGTTCGCTTGGTCTAGGCCCCAGGAGAAGTTGCTATCACTGATCATCCCACTAGGAGATTTTTAAGGTCAGCCCTATCCATTTGTCCTGATTTCTGGGCCCCCAGACCTCAAAAATTTCCTACCATTCAGGTCATTATCCAAAACATTGGGTATGGATTTAAAATTTGGTTGGCCATTTTGTGGTACAGGATTCCAACGCTAGGATCTAGAGGTTATGACTCAGTCCTCGGCCCACACTCTTCCCTTTGGCATCATTCTCTGTTCACGACCTTGTCTTACGGTGCCTGGGACTGTCTCCCACATACTGGGCCTGAAGCCTCATTTTTTTAAACCTTATCCATCGGCCCAGTCTCACCATCAACATATGCTTTGCACATATTTAATGCTTAAAAAGGATAACTAAATGAAATACAAGTACATTTAAAAAAATATTCATGTCTTCTACAAAGCCTACATAGACTGACTTAATAATTTTCTGATTTAACTCCCCATGAATCAACAAGACAGAGACAATAAATCTGGCCCCAAGTTCAAGGTTTTATTTGATAACTCTTGCTGCTGTCTTTCCTCCTTGGTCCCAATTATCTGCTGAGGTTCATCCTGATCATGAAGAAAGAAACTTCATCACTTTCCTTAATACTCAAGGGAAGGTTTCCTACTTGTTTCTTTGATCTACAGTGTTTATTTAAATAAAGTTGAGTTTATCCACTCCTTAAAGTTTGGGCAGAATACCTCACAAAAAGCCATCTGGAACTGGTGCTACTGTGGTGGGCAGCTCTTTGGTTATATTTCCTATTTCTTGTATGGCTACTGATGTATTTAGTTTTTTCTCTCTTCTATAGTCAGTTTTGCAATTTATATTTTCCTTGTGAATCATACATTTCATCCATGTTCTCATAGCTCTTTTCATGTTTCGGCTGGGTGGTTACTTATGATTCTTTGAACTTCCCAAGTGGAAAACTACATGTTTAAGTAAGCTGCCATTTTCTGCATCAGAAAATGATCAAGATTTAAGAGAAAAGTAAGAACCATATCAGTTAGAAAGGTAGGGAAAGAGTAATGGCAATGTTTTAAATAGCACTTTTACCATAACTTCCCCAAATGGTTGGGGATCAATATGAAATCACTTCCAAATCTTGTATACCTGTCTTATTCAGTGAATAGAGCATATATGAAGTAAGCCTCTTCTGGTTTAAGGTGTATATTAAAAACACCCAATATGTCTCCTAACTTAAAGCTTGTCAATATCATAGTTCAAGTGTTCTTATCAAAATTCACAGAAGAATATTCTTGCTTACAAGCAGCCATGTTAGCCTCCAGTCCATGACAGGTAGGGCTTTTAGATAGATACTGAGAGCCTTGTGACACACAGCATTTCTGAGCTTGCAAAGTTTTAGAGCTTACCGGTCTAACACTCTGATTTACACATGATAAAAGTGGCCTAGAGCAGTTAAGTGACCTACCAAGACCTGGACTTCTCAAATAAAGACACCAGCAAGGGCCCATATCCACCGAGTTCTGGTTTGTCTCACAAGACCATATCCCACACTTGATGGCAAATATTTAAATTTGATCATGTGTAACATTTGTGAAGTGGGGGGAAAATTCTTCTTTTCCCCCTAGAAGATCATGAAGTACAGGAGAGGCAATGGCCTTCTGTTGGATATAATTTAGATATTATTTAGATGGCACCTGCATAGAGATGAACTATTGTACATAATCTCTTGATTTCTAGATGCTCCTCTCTCCAAGTTAACAACAACAACAAAATGAGTAAAACTGTATGCACAGATAAAACTGATGTGAAAATTTTAAAAACAACCCAGGTCTTCCTTTATTTTTAAGTTGTCAGGCCTGTCTTTAGAGGGCATTTAAAAGAAGAAATTACACACACTTAGAGAACACTGTGAAAGTTTAATTTCTTTGGCCTTTTAATTACCCTCTCCTCTAAATACCCAAAATATCCACAGCAATTAAGTACTAATTACACAATTTCTATTTTTAAAAATAAAAGGCTGATTTTGAGTCAGAGAACAAAACACATCTGAAACTAGTTAACATATACTTAAGCATCATAGGAGGGCATAAGGACTACCAAGAAAAAGTTTGCGGTTGTCTTTTGTTTGTTTTATTCAAATGCTTTAAATTTAAGAAATACAGTTAATCCTAGAGAAATTATGCAACATGCCAGCTCGCAACATCGGAAAACAAAAAGTAATGTTCTGGCATGGCCTCGTTTTATCTATGAATTTGTCAAAACGTTTCTAGAATGCAAGGTTAAAATAGACTGTATGATTAAACACAATCTTTTTAACACCTATTACATTTTTACTAAATTGGGGAAGGGCAAAAAGGGCATACATCAATACAAATGTATATCTTTTCTACTCAAGTATTTTGTTTTTGTGTG